CAATTATTTTATCTCACTTCTCACCTTGAGTCTGTGATGCTTCTGTAGATTTCCCCGCGAGATAGATAATGCATTTACTTTTATTTTGCTTTGGCACATCTCTGAAGTTTAGCTCCTCATTCTTCTGTTCATAATTGTTAACTTCGTTCCGTTAGCATCCACTTCCACTCCGAAGTTCACAGAACTGCGCGCTAACCACTCACTGCACCACTGCCACAACCCCAGGTACATAATTGTACAGTGCAATTAAGCGCCATGATTCTGTGCATCATCATGCACTCTTTTCCCCTGTAATGTAAATAAAAAGTTGGGGAGTGCGTCTTACAAGATGTGTCTGCGTGGGAGACCAGAATCGTCTAACTTTATTAACATCAAGTACAAGTTCTGGCTGCGGATTACTTTCCAGAGCGCCATTTAATCCGGAGAAAACGGTTTAAGTGGGTGAAAGTCCCTTTTCACAGTCTGGGATTGTAAAGGAGACCTGGGACGCAAATCATTAACACAAAACACACACGGCACACGAGCCTGGTGAAATATTAAACACCGTGCTAAGAAATCCACAAACGATGAGAACATATTTCAGGGAAGTCTCATGCCGGTGAATAATAACACGACAGTGGCGGTGATCTTGCCGAGTCTCAAGACTGACGACGGATATGGCAATGACCAGAATCAACGGAGGGGGTCAGTCCTCCGTCAACAGACTTGTGTCACCTCAACCAACCATGGCATGACAGCGATGTCAGCAACATGAATCAAGCCACAAGGATCTTGTCTGTTTTCCCGATACAAGAAATGACCAAAACAACAACCGCAATTCGCCACTAAGTGGCGGTGACGTCACCACGGCGCTCGTGCCAGGCCATGTGCACTTTAAGGGCAGCTGAAGCGTCCAACGCCCGCCGGCGGGAAGGTCACAGGTCAGACTCAGCAGGTGCCATGGGGTTGACTGACTGCGGGTGACCAAATCACCTACAGTGCCACCCGACCCCATCGAGATGTTGTCGCAAGCTAAGCAGTTTTGAGCCTGCATGGTGCTCCGTCGGGAGACAAAGATCCCCCGGGTAGCCTTAACAGGCTGTTGGGGCAAGTGCTTTTAGCGAGCACCTATGAAGGCCCGAACGCTACGCAAACGGGGATGGGTGGCCACCACCACGCCCGGGCGCCTTTGTGTCCCCAGTGGCGATGTTTACTACACACCGCACCAGGTACTCATTTGAGGGCTAGTCGACCTAGGGGAGGAGGCCCAGGACCGGTTCAGACAATCGCCACCGGTGTTGGCCGCGAGATGGGGGAATCGAACTCGGGTGGCCGGGTTCGTAGCGCAGCGTAGCGCTACAAGCAGGTTGTCACAGTGGCGTTGCAGGCTAACGTGGTGCGTGAGCAGCCATGCAAGTGCAATGCAGCAGCAGCAGCAGCAGCAACAACAAAAAACAATTGTTGCACGCCACCTCTATGCTCCCACGTCTAGCGCTCGCCAGTCTTCACCGACCGTCGCAACTGGCACGGCGTGGGAACGGAGGATCCCTCAGCCAACAATGGCAGCTGGTTATGACACCATGCATGGGGGTGCCGCGGCGGCGAGATGTTAACTACCTCGCCTGGTGTACAGGAGGTCGTGGGATCCATCCCGACCCTGACGCCTGGTGTATATTTGGAGTTTGCGTGTCTCTCTCATATCACGGTGGCTAGGAGATGTTAACTACCTCGCCTGGTACACAGGAGGTCGTGGGATCCATCCCGACCCTGACGCCTGCTATATATTTGGAGTTTGCGTGTCTCTATCTCTCATCACTGTGGCTAGGAGATGTTAACTACCTCGCCTGGTATGCAGGAGGTCGTGGGTTCCATCCCGACCCTGACGCCTGCTGTATATTTGGAGTTTGCGTGTCTCTCTCGTATCACGGTGGCTAGGAGATGTTAACTACCTCGCCTGGTACACAGGAGGTCGTGGGATCCATCCCGACCCTGACGCCTGCTATATATTTGGAGTTTGCGTGTCTCTATCTCTCATCACGGTGGCTAGGAGATGTTAACTACCTCGCCTGGTATACAGGAGGTCGTGGGTTCCATCCCTACCCTGACGCCTGCTGCTGTATATTTGGAGTTTGCGTGTCTCTCTTTCATCATCATCACGGTGGCTAGGAGATGTTAACTACCTCGCCTGGTCTACAGGAGGTCGTGGGATCCATCCCGACCCTGACCACTGCTGCTGTATATTTGGAGTTTGCGTGTCTCTATCTCTCATCACGATGGCTAGGAGATGTTAACTACCTCGCCTGGTACACAGGAGGTCGTGGGATCCATCCCGACCCTGACCACTGCTGCTGTATATTTGGAGTTTGCGTGTCTCTATCTCTCATCACGATGGCTAGGAGATGTTAACTACCTCGCCTGGTACACAGGAGGTCGTGGGATCCATCCCGACCCTGACGCCTGCTATATATTTGGAGTTTGCGTGTCTCTATCTCTCATCACGGTGGCTAGGAGATGTTAACTACCTCGCCTGGTATACAGGAGGTCGTGGGTTCCATCCCGACCCTGACGCCTGCTGCTGTATATTTGGAGTTTGCGTGTCTCTCTTTCATCATCATCACGGTGGCTAGGAGATGTTAACTACCTCGCCTGGTCTACAGGAGGTCGTGGGATCCATCCCGACCCTGACCACTGCTGCTGTATATTTGGAGTTTGCGTGTCTGTATCTCTCATCACGATGGCTAGGAGATGTTAACTACCTCGCCTGGTACACAGGAGGTCGTGGGATCCATCCCGACCCTGACGATGCCTGCTGCTGTATATTTGGAGTTTGCGTGTCTCTATCTCTCATCACGATGGCTAGGAGATGGTAACTACCTCGCCTGGTACACAGGAGGTCGTGGGATCCATCCCGACCCTGACGATGCCTGCTGCTGTATATTTGGAGTTTGCGTGTCTCTCTCTCATCATCACGGTGGCTAGATGTTAACTACCTCGCCTGGTATACAGGAGGTCGTGGGTTCCATCCCGACCCTGACGATGCCTGCTGCTGTATATTTGGAGTTTGCGTGTCTCTCATCATCATCACGGTGGCTAGGAGATGTTAACTACCTCGCCTGGTATACAGGAGGTCGTGGGATCCATCCCGACCCTGACCACTGCTGCTGTATATTTGGAGTTTGCGTGTCTCTATTTCTCATCACGATGGCTAGGAGATGTTAACTACCTCGCCTGGTACACAGGAGGTCGTGGGATCCATCCCGACCCTGACGATGCCTGCTGCTGTATATTTGGAGTTTGCGTGTCTCTCTCTCATCATCATCACGGTGGCTAGGAGATGTTAACTACCTCGCCTGGTACACAGGAGGTCGTGGGATCCATCCCGACCCTGACGATGCCTGCTGCTGTATATTTGGAGTTTGCGTGTCTCTATCTCTCATCACGATGGCTAGGAGATGTTAACTACCTCGCCTGGTACACAGGAGGTCGTGGGATCCATCCCGACCCTGACGATGCCTGCTGCTGTATATTTGGAGTTTGCGTGTCTCTATCTCTCATCACGATGGCTAGGAGATGTTAACTACCTCGCCTGGTACACAGGAGGTCGTGGGATCCATCCCGACCCTGACGATGCCTGCTGCTGTATATTTGGAGTTTGCGTGTCTCTCTGCCATCATCATCACGGTGGCTAGGAGATGTTAACTACCTCGCCTGGTACACAGGAGGTCGTGGGATCCATCCCGACCCTGACGATGCCTGCTGCTGTATATTTGGAGTTTGCGTGTCTCTCTCTCGTCGTGGTCGCGTGGATTTTCCTCTGGGTCCGTCGATTCCCCACCCCCCGCCCCCTCCACATTATCACGCGTTCAGAGTAATTTGGCTGCTATACATTTTCACGTGATGATGATCATAATAATAATAAACCGCCAACTTCGTTGAGCTATCATTTGTGATATCCAGGTCCGCCTTCTGAAAAATAGCTACAACATAAGCTCAGTGGGGGGTGGGGGTGGGTGCTTACCTAGTAACTAGTTTCCTTTCGTAATTTTTTGCGTAAAATTTACAAGGGGGGGTGGTGGGTGGGGATGGGATTCGCATCGAGTCGTCTTTGCCGTATTCTTCTTCTTCACACCCAGCGACAAATGTCGATTCGACCGCGCGCCAAGCGAAACCCACGGACGGAACCAAGCGCACCCAATCGATGAATCGTAACGCGGGCAACGAGGACCCTCGCAGGAAACACACAGCACGTGGGTGACATCGCGCAAAGCAGAGAGGGCCATGGATGGCACGGCGAGGTCGTCATCCAGCAGCTGATAGAGCGTACCCTCCACCCTCCTCCACCGTTCGTGCTCGAGATTGTAAATTTGCTCTCCCAACACGCGGCTAGTGGTTGTTGTTGTTGGTATTGTTGTTGTTGTGCGTCGCTGTGCATCGTAACGAATGGGTCACAGTCTGTTTACGTGGCAAAACCTGAACTGAACAACCTATATTACGGATGACACTGATCGCGAAACGCCCGACTGAACATCGCCACCACCACCGCCGCTGCTGCTGAGACTCCACGTTAATAAACTAACGTGGAGTTTAAATTTTGTTTTCAAGCTTTCGTGACTGCAGTAATTCATGTTCTTAGCTCTTTCGGTAAAGTCACGTTGAAGGGAAACAATAAAATATTATTTCCCTTCGATAAAATATTGTTTCCCTTCAACGTGACTTTACCGAAAGAGCTAAGAATATATAACGTGGAGTTTGTTTACAATCGCAGGTGCCGTTCATATTTCCCAGCTCGCATAAGCGCGCGACCCCCCCCCAACCCCCCCCGCAGAACGCGCGCGCGCCATTAGCCCCGGCGGCCCTCGTGACGCCGCGGTCGGCCAATAGCGTGCGCCGCCGCGGTCATCGCGCGCCTATCCGCACTGGGGAATCTCAAGGCGGGGCGGGTCCGCGCCGACCCGGCCCCGCCCCCCCCCCATCCCGCCGTTCGAAGCAAAGCATAAAATGGGCAAACAAATGGCGCTCGCCTTCGTCGTAGTGGCCGCAGTCCTGCAGCTCGGCGAAGTACTCCTCCGTCTCCTGGAGGTTGTTCTGGAAGTGCTGCTTGAGGCGGCCGAAGGCGCGGAACGTGCGCGCCAGCTCCTTGGCGAGCAGCGCGGGCGACGCGACGAACCAGCGAGGCGACGCGTCCGCCATGATGAACTGGAGAGGGGAGGGGGCAGCTGTGGAGGGGGTGGGGCAATGGGTGGAGGGGGGGCGGGGTAATGTGGGAGGGGGTGGGGTAATGATTGGGCGTGGCACTGGGGGGGGAAGGTGAGGCAATGAGGGGGTGGGGCAATGGGTGGAAGGGGGGCGGGGTAATGTGGGAGGGGGTGGGGAAATGATTGGGCGTGGCACTGGGGGGGGGAAGGTGAGGCAATGAGGGGGCGGGGCAATGGGTGGAGGGGGCGGGGTAATGTGGGAGGGGGTGGTGTAATGATTGGGCGTGGCACTGGGGGGAAGGTGAGGCAATGAGGGGGCGGGGCAATGGGTGGAGGGGGCGGGGTCATAAATGAGTGGGGAGGTGGGGCAATGAGGGGGGGTGGGGCAATAAGGGGGGGTGGGGCAATAGGGGAGGGGCGGGGAAATGGGGGGGAGGTGAGGAATGGGGTAGAGGGCGGGGCAATGAGGGGGGAGGGGAAATGGAGGGAGGTGGTGGGGGAGGAGTAATAAGGGGGAGGGGCAATTAGGGGGGCGGGGCAATCGGGGGAGGGGCGCAAGCACTTTGACTCAGAATTAGAATTGACTACATGAGGAATCCGATGGGCTGTAAAGCTCTTGTCACAATGGGGAAAAGGGGTGGGGCAATGGGGAGAGAGGCGGGGTCAATCGGGGATAGGACAATGGGGAAAGGGGCGGGGGAGATTGGACAATGGTGTCTCTGAATACAATTGAGTTAATTTAGTCATACGTTTGAATTATTTGATGTTTTATGCGTTACTAGATAGCGAATAATAGCTAAATATTCACGTGATAATAAACAAAACAACTTCAACGTGTCCTATCTTGATGCGCCAAAGAAGGGCCATTGCCCGAACCGTCCCGTCTGCTATATATTTGTTTTCACCTTCGGGCCACACTGGGTGAGGCTCGACCTGGCATGTTGGGGCTTGGCCCATCTTGGCGAGCCCTGGAAAACCGCAACGGGATGAAGTTGGCGGGGCGAGATGACCTTGGTGGGGGGGGGGGGGCTGCGGGTCAACTGGGGGATGGGGGGGGGGCGGGGTTTGTGGGCTTGGGTTAAATTATTTAGGCTTTTTGTACATGATGGTCCAGATGTCCTGTGACCGCCCATCCCGCATTTAATTCTCTAAGCCAGTGATTCTACAACCTGGGATGCACGCAATCCTTGGGGGTGCGAGATGTCCCTTCTAAGGACCAAAGGGGTGCAGGCTGCACTAAAGGTTCAGAAACCGCTGGTCTAAAACGTAATCTTTTTTTAAAGTAAAGTTTATTTAAAACAGAAATGAATATGCAAAAGGAACACAAATTGTTAGGGGTAAATTAATTGAGGGTCACCAGACATCTGGGCCACGTGTTGACGCAAAGCCCCACACGTGTGTGTTGTGCACCTGTGTGGCTGTGTTCGTGTCTTTGGCTGTCCACGTGTCTCTCGATTTGGCTGTGGCTGTCTGTGTGATTGTTTAAGTATCTTTCTAGATTTGAAGTTTTCGTGACTGCAAGGATTCTTTCGGTAAAGTCACGTAGGTGAAAAATTAATAAAAAATAAAAAATAACAAAATTGAATTAAATGTATTTATATATTTTTTTATTTTAAATTGTTTATTTAATAAACTTATTTATATATTTTTTTTATATAAATCTGTCCATGTTGCTGTACGCGTGGCTGTGTGACTGTGTGAGTGTCTATGTATATGTCCATGTTGCAGTATGCGTGGCTGTGTGACTGTCTGTGTGAGTGTCTATGTATATGTTCATGGTGCTGTATGCGTGGCTGTGTGACTGTGTGATTGTCTATGAATCTGTCCATGTTGCTGTACGCGTGGCTGTGTGACTGTCTGTGTGAGTGTCTATGTATATGTTCATGTTGCTGTACGCGTGGCTGTGTGACTGTCTGTGTGAGTGTCTATGTATATGTTCATGTTGCTGTATGCGTGGCTGTGTGACTGTCTGTGTGAGTGTCTATGTATATGTTCATGTTGCTGTATGCGTGGCTGTGTGACTGTCTGTGTGAGTGTCTATGAATCTGTCCATGTTGCTGTACGCGTGGCTGTGTGACTGTCTGTGTGAGTGTCTACGTATATGTTCATGTTGCTGTATACGTGGCTGTGTGACTGTCTGTGTGAGTGTCTATGTATATGTTCATGTTGCTGTATGCGTGTCTGTGTGACTGTCTGTGTGGCTATGTGATGGTGTGGAGCGGTGGTGTAGTGGTTAGCGCTCTGCGTGATGAACCCGGCGACCTGGGTTCGATTCCCGCTCATGGCCAACGCCAGTTACGATTATCTGAACTGGTACTGGGCCTCCCCTATGTCAACTCAGCCTCAAATGAGTACCTGGTGCGGTGTGTAAACATCGCCGCTGGGGAGACAAAGGCGGCCAGCCGTGGTGCTGGCCACCCACCCCTTCGTGTGCTGTGCCGGCCTTCATAGGTGCTCGCTAACAGCACTTGCCCCTACAGTCTATTGAGGCTGTACGGGGGACATTTTGTCTTTGGACCACCATGCACATTTTTGTATCACCCAATTGATCTGGGCCGTCTCTTTTAGAGCGCTTTACATCACACATCTCACCTCAAATATTTGGAAGGGCACTGTCCCTGTGTAGCACGAGGTACCTGACCCGTGCAAGCGGGAATTAGGTCTGCCAGTGGGTGAGCAATGTATGGCAGATTATTTTAGTTTGCCAGTATCAAAGTATGAAAAACAAGAATAGGTTTTTACCCTTTCTGGAAATCAAACAGGAGGCGTTAAGATGTTCAAACACCAAATAGATACCTCTTGCAAGCAGGGGCAGAGCCAGGATTTTGACTTTGGAGGGGCTGACTTCAATATTCTGAGATATCCAGTGTAATGTTTTCAATGGGCGCCACAAATGTATAAAACAAATTTTATTGGATTTGAACGCGGAGTTTATTAATAGGTCGGAGCCGCTGATGTGGCTAATAAGTTCGATAAGTTCGCAAGGCTGCCGCTCAAGCAGCCTGCAGGGCAGCACACAAGGTGGCAGCCTGCAGGGCAGCACAAGGTGGCAGCCTGCAGGGCAGCACACAGGGTAGCAGCCTGCAGGGCAGCACAAGGTGGCAGCCTGCAGGGCAGCACGAGGTGGCAGCCTGCAGGGCAGCACGAGGTGGCAGCCTGCAGGGCAGCACAAGGTGGCAGCCTGCAGGGCAGCACGAGGTGGCAGCCTGCAGGGCAGCACAAGGTGGCAGCCTGCAGAGCAGCACAAGGTGGCAGCCTGCAGGGCAGCACACAAGGTGGCAGCCTGCAGGGCAGCACAAGGTGACAGCCTGCAGGGCAGCACACAAGGTAGCAGCCTGCAGGGCAGCACAAGGTGGCAGCCTGCAGGGCAGCACACAACGTGGCAGCCTGCAGGGCAGCACAAGGTGACAGCACAAGGTGGCAGCACAAGGTGGCAGCCTGCAGGGCAGCACGAGGTGGCAGCCTGCAGGGCAGCACACAAGGTGGCAGCCTGCAGGGCAGCACAAGGTGGCAGCCTGCAGGGCAGCACGAGGTGGCAGCCTGCAGGGCAGCACAAGGTGGCAGCCTGCAGAGCAGCACAAGGTGGCAGCCTGCAGGGCAGCACACAAGGTGGCAGCCTGCAGGGCAGCACAAGGTGACAGCCTGCAGGGCAGCACAAGGTGGCAGCCTGCAGGGCAGCACACAAGGTGGCAGCCTGCAGGGCAGCACAAGGTGGCAGCCTGTAGGGCAGCACAAGGTGGCAGCCTGCAGGGCAGCACACAAGGTGGCAGCCTGCAGGGCAGCACAAGGTGGTAGCCTGCAGGGCAGCACACAAGGTAGCAGCCTGCAGGGCAGCACAAGGTGACAGCCTGCAGGGCAGCACACAAGGTGGCAGCCTGCAGGGCAGCACACAAGGTGGCAGCCTGCAGGGCAGCACACAAGGTGGCAGCCTGCAGCATTTTGCAGCAGCCAGATATCCGGTTATCCCGATTACCGACTTTACCAAATTTTCAGGGGGGGGCTAAGCCCCCCCCAGCCCCCCGTGTGGCTCCGCCCCTGCTTGCAAGGTATTATGTTTGCATTAACCACACGTACTTGTGGGGAAAAACATGCAAACGAAGACAATGCCTATATTACCAGAGGAGGTTTGTTTGCATGCTTATTATGTGGAACTGTGAAGCAGCCAAATACTCTCAAGGCATGTTTCTAAATGTGAAGAGGAAAAACTGGAGGACCCGGAGAAAAATCCACGCGGCCGCGTGGGGAGAGAGAGAGAGAGAGACGCAAACTCCAAATATACAGGAGTCAGAGTCGGGATCAAACGCACGACATCCTGTATGCCAGTCGAAGGAGTTAACATCTCCTAGCCACCGTGATGATGATGAGAGATAGAGACACGCAAACTCCAAATATACAGCAGCAGGCGTCAGGGTCGGGATTGAACCCACGACCTCCTGCATACCAGCCGAGGGAGTTAACATCTCCTAGTCGCCGTGGAGCCCATTATTAACCAGGGCCGCCTGCCGGATTGTAACCCGCGAAACCCCTGCGACAGGAGGCGAACGCATTGCGGCCAGGCCAACATCTCGACGTAACTTCCTCACTCAACATAACTGACCCAACGTGGATTTCAAATTAAAACTCTTTCTGACCGTACGCATGCATGCAGGCTGGCCTCAACCGGGATATTTGACGGGCGTCATGCGAATATTGTGTCACGGAAATTAGAAAAAACGTGGGTCTCACCGCAACAGAAAATCTCTCCCACCCCCCCCCCCCCCCCCCAAATAAACTTTGACGCAAACATTTTTTTTCCGTTTAAGGCCACGGTGGTTTATTGACGAATTTGTTGAGTGGGCATTTATTTATTTTACTCTTCTTCTTATACTTCTTTTTTAGTACGGCTGCTGATGTAGATGCAGAGCGACAACTACAATTTCACATTCACGTGGTCGAGCCGGACAACCCGCGTCAGGAGCCAGCGGAGTCGTCGTATCATCGCTGTGACGTCTTCAGTTTGTATTTGCGGGTCGGGGCATTGCG